GGAAATCAGTTGTGGAGGAGAGTTGGGACGCCAACTCTTGTACCTGCGATGGTTTGTACTTTTGATCAAGCTGTGACTCTACTATTCAGCACAGGGCTGCACGAACGCCGTCAGCTACCGTGCGGCGAGCGGCATTCACATCAGCGCGCATTTCTATAAGTGTCTGACCTTCGAGTCAGCCCAGGGTGAGCTCGCAGAGTGCCCCCTGTGGACCCGTCGAACGGGGGGAACATAGGTGTCCGTAGCGGACAGCAGGAGGCTTATGCCAAAGTGATTTGCCAAGACTTGATGAATTATTGAATTCCAAGTAGGCCGCTTTCGAGCATGCCAGAACGTGTCCGCAGCGGACGTTACGGCTTCTATCTGTGTTAAGAAATATTCTTAAACAAGAAAGTAGACTCTATTTTTTCGGAAAAATATTTCTAGACTATTTTTGTCAAAAAAACACGTTTTCTTTTAAATACGTATTAAGTTCCAATTTGAAGGGCCCTGCCACAAAGAGAAAGAAAGAGAGAGAGAGAGAAAGAGAAAGAGCGCCCCCTCAATGACAAACTTGACATCATCTATGACCCCTTTCCATGATACGTACGTAGGGCAAAAGCTTCAGTTTGCTTAAATCTGTTTCAAAAAACTGTCCCCAACCTGTCCTCTCGGGTGGTCTGAAACTGGTCTGAAACCCTTTAGAAGTCCCATCGCAGCCTTCAACTTTGAGCCTCCCTCCCTCCTTCCCTCCCTCCCTCCCCTCATCTCAGATTCTTGAGCATTGTACCATGATAGAACATTATACAACATCCGTGGTGCCACTTTGCTTCCAAAAAGGTTCAAAACTTACATTTTGGGTTGAAAAACCTGAAGTTCCGAACCGTCAGCACAAAACGCATGTGGACCTGCAAAAGTGATATGGTCAGGGATGGTCATCGGAAGTTATTGGAGAACATGGAGTGGATGCATGAAGAAGAGCTTTTAATTCGGTACCACTACGGCCGCAATTAGGTACTATTGGACGCACCGAATTACGATCATGATGGTACCGAATTAAAAGCGAGCCTTCATTATCCTGTACACCCCGTACGTATCTCACTGGCAGACCCCACATGGAATGACGCGGCACAAGGGCCGCATTGTTTAATCTTGCGATCAAACATCCGCTTTTAGACAATGACCCTTGGATTTCCAGGGTGCAGGTGTAAAATGACAAACTTGACATCATCTATGACCCCTTTCCATGATACATACGTAGAGCAAAAGCTTCAGTTTGCTTAAATCGGTTTCAAAAAAACTGTCCCAACCTGTCCTCTCGGGTGGTCTGAAACTGGTCTGAAACCCTTTAGAAGTCCCATCGCAGCCTTCAACTTTGAGCCTCCCTCCTTCCCTCCCTCCCTCCCTCCCCTCATCTCAGATTCTTGAGCATTGTACCATGATAGAACATTATACAACATCCGTGGTTCCAGTTTGCTTCCAAAAAGGTTCAGAACTTACATTTTTGGTTCAAAAACCTGAAGTTTCGAACCGTCAGCACAAAACGCATGTGGAGCTGCAAAAGTGATATGGTCACTGATAGTCATCGGAAGTTGTTGGAGAACATGGAGTGGATGCATGAAGAGGAGTTTTTAATTAGGCACCACTACGGCCACAATTAGGTACTATTGGGCGCATCGAATTACGACCATAATGGTACCGAATTAAAAGCGGGCCTTCATTGTCCTGTAGACCCCCGTACGTATCTCACTGACAGACCCCACATGGAACGACGCGGCACAAGGGCCGCATTGTTTAATCTTGCGATCAAACATCCGCTTTTAGACAATGACCCTTGGATCTCCAGGGTGCAGGTGTAATACTTGACATCATCTATGACCCCTTTCCATGATACGTACGTAGAGCAAAAGCTTCACTTTGTTTAAATCCGCCCGCACCGAAGGTGCTGAGGCGTTTTATAGGGCACGCTTGGAATCCGTTAGTATCGTCAGTATATACTATAGCTTTAGCTAGGGGGGGGGCATTTTCGCTCTAGAATCCTGTGTTTTTCACGTTTTTGGAACCGGCTTAAAGTGCTTTCGCGCTAATGTTGGGTATCTTGAAGGCTTTAGGGATGCAAGAAATGCGAGTTTCTGCTTTGCATCATCTGTATCACCCGAATCATCTGAGCGGCACACGAAGTCCCTATCTAATGGACGCGTCTGCGCGATAGGGACTAGAACATCCGGGAACGTGGCTGGTCCGGAGCAGAGATAAGCAGGTCAGGCCCCGGAACGGGTACGTAAGATAACCCTGGAAGTCACTATCTAACGGACATGTCTGCGAGATAGGGACTTGAACGTCCGGGTACGTGGGTGGTCAGGAGCAGAGATAAGCAGGTCAGGTCCAGGAACGGCAATATTATCTCCCGAGCATAGCTCCCAGATGGTCGAACACTCTCAAGTACGCTTCCTCGAGATAGGTACTTGAACGTCGTAAACATGCTCTAACGAAGGCTCCCAAGGGACTGGAATCGCGTGAAGATATTGTCTAACCGAGCACTCGAAGGCACTATCGAAAGGACATGTCTGTGAGATGGGGACTTGAACGTCCGAGTACGTGGCGGGTCCGGAGTCTCCAGTGTGCTTCCCCGAGATAGGTACTTGAACGTCGTAAACATGGTCTCACGAAGGCCCCAAAGGGAGTGGAATAGAGTGCAGAGATTGCCTAACAGAGATCTAGAAGTTACTACCGAAAGGACGCGTCTGCGCTTGAACGTCGTAGACTGCAATAGATTCCCCCCTAACGTAGCTAAACATAGCGTCCATATTGTTTGGCATAGCATTAGAAGTGATATTTGGCTCCACCGGAGCAAAGACAAACCTAGATCACGTTCCGGAACGGCAACATCGCAAATAACGTGGCCCAACGAGGGCTCAAAAAGGACTGGACAAGCACGTCTCCTCGAGAGAGGGACTGGAGCGTCGCAGACCGGGGCCCCTTTTGCACTCCAGATGCGCGCGCCGACTCCATCTACAGGGTGAAACATGCGCTCTTTTCAGTATAGCTGCACCATGTCACATCACGTCCCGTGACGTGTTAACCTTGTAGACTCGTGCAAATCTAGATGGGGAAAAGAACGTGAACTACCTGAATTGCCAGGGAGATTGAAACCTTAGCTCGCCACCGTGCCGGAAAGTACTGCGACAAATCCTGAGCAAATTTCATGTAGCAGGACACAGAGTGATGGCACAGCACTGGCCAGGGCGCCTGCAAATAGGCCCATCCATGGAAGGTCACGTGCTCATAGGTCCGAAT